AATATCCAAACAAAGAATATTCGAGATTGGTTTCCGTTTCCGGTCATATTCGCCAAGCACTCCTAAAAGTGCTACTAGGATTCATATGTTTACAAGTCAAGATTTTTAGCATTCCTCGATACCTAGACTTTTGCATATTATACTGAAGTTTTTGTTCGGGGTACGAAGTGGAGTGAGGTTTTCACGAATGTCGCGAAAGCTTCCATGCGGAACTTTTTATTCGCTGTAATGCCTTTCTTATTTTAGGCATTAGGGAAAGTCAATTTGGATCGAAAGGTATTATGAGGCGATTTTAACGAGAAAAATTCTACTTTTTTTCTTTGGGATTCTTTGCAGGATTTTGTGAAATACAGCGAAACAAAGGACGGTCCTCGTGCATCTGAATAGTAGATTACAAAAGCAATTTGTAGATAAAAAGAATATGAATGCCGTTTTCAATCCAACTCATTCAAAAGTATTCGCATAAAAGAATTCGAATTGAATTCCCATAATATTACGGACAAGTACTATCTTTGGGTATTGTTCCGAAACACAAAGCTTTCAAAAGATATTCGAGTGGTTCCCTCTGTTGATAGAAACGCTCCTCCGGGATTGACAACTGGAGATATTCGTTTGTTTTATACTTTGCGAGAGGCCGAAGGAGTTTGTTTGCGATGCCGCTCGCATTTTGTACTAATTTCCTTTATTTTCCCCGATTTTTTTTCTGAGGGGGTGCGATCCGTCGGGCTTATTGTTTCAATTTCGATAGTTTGCGCCGAAGGGACGGGTGTTTGGTAAGAAATTTTATTTGGGGTTTGGTCACCTAGCAACCGTATAGGCCCGAGGCTGTTGCCTGGCAACACCCAGGTGTCGAACTACCCAATCAACACGCCGGATCTCAAGATCAATGTTTACTCTTCACCCTCTATTGTGCTACATCGTCCGACAGATCTATGCGAAAAAAGGTCTTGGGGTAACTAATAATAACGCGAACGTGGCCGACTAAGAAAACGTAATTGAATTTTCGTAAGCTGCTGGGGGGTATTCCATACCCCCCAAACCCCCCGGTGGTACGTTTTTCCACAAAAAGTGTAATGTTCGAATACTCCATAGGAAAATAGATTTTTTGTCCTTTTCCAAAAATTAATCCTGATAGTTTGAGCGCTTTGACAGGAAAAGTTAGTACCAGGGGTGTCTGGGGGGTGTGGAATACCCCACAACTATCTGTGTCTACTCTCACCAAAAGAGGGCTATAGATAAATCTGTCTTTTTTACGCCCCAACAACCCCATGTTAGATACTGACAAAAATAATTAAATTTTCGTAAGCTGGGGGGTATTCCATACCCCCCAGACCCCCGGTAGTACGTTCTTCCACAAAAAGTGAAACTCCACTAGACAATACAGTTCTATGTACTTTTCCAAAAACTAATCAAGATAGTTTGAGCGGTTTGGGGGGGGAAAAGTTAGTACCAGGGGTAACAATATCATGTTAGGTACTAAGGAAACGTAATTGAATTTTCGTAAGCTGCTAGGGAGTATTCCATACCCCCAAACCCCCCGGTGGTACGTTTTTCCACAAAAAGTGTAATGTTAGAATACTCCATAGGAAAATAGATTTTTTGTCCTTTTCTAAAAACTAATCCTGATAGTTTGAGCGCTTTGGCGGGAAATGTTACTACCAGGGGTGTCTGGGGGGTGTGGAATACCCCACAACTATCTGTGTCTACTCTCACCAAAATAGGGCTATAGATAATTCGTCCTTCTATACGCCCTAAAAATATCCTGTTAGGTACTGAGAAAACGTAATTAAATTTTCGTAAGCTGGGGGGTATGGAATACCCCCCCCCCCCCCGGTGGTACGATATTCCACTAAAAGTGTAATGTTAGCATACTCCATAGGAAAATAGATTTTTTTGTCCTTTTCCAAAAATTAATCCTGATAGTTTGAGCGCTTTGACAGGAAAAGTTAGTACCAGGGGTGTCTGGGGGGTGTGGAATACCCCACAACTATCTGTGTCTACTCTCACCAAAAGAGGGCTGTAGATCATTCTTCCTTTTATACGCCCTAACAATATCATGTTAGATACTAAGAAAACGTAATTGAATTTTCGTAAGCTGCTGGGGGGTATTCCATACCCCCCAAACCCCCCGGTGGTACGTTTTTCCACAAAAAGTGTAATGTTAGAATACTCCATAGGCAAATAGATTTTTTGTCCTTTTCTAAAAACTAATCCTGATAGTTTGAGCGCTTTGGCGGGAAATGTTACTACCAGGGGTGTCTGGGGGGTGTGGAATACCCCACAACTATCTGTGTCTACTCTCACCAAAAGAGGGCTATAGATAATTCTTCCTTTTATACGCCCTAAAAATATCCTGTTAGGTACTGAGAAAACGTAATTAAATTTTCGTAAGCTGGGGGGTATGGAATAACCCCCCACGCCCCCCGGTGGTACGTTATTCCACAAAAAGTGTAATGTTAGCATACTCCATAGGAAAATAGACTTTTTTGTCCTTTTCCAAAAAATAATCAAGATAGTTTGAGCACTTTGGCGGGAAAAGATAGTGCCAGGAGGTATCTGGGGGGTATGGAATACCCCACAGCTATCTGTGTCTACCCTCAGCAAAAAAAGAATATAGATAATTCTTCCTTTTATACGCCCTAACAATATCCTGTTAGGTACTGAGAAAACGTAATTATATTTTCGTAAGCTTGGGGGTATGGAATACCCCCCCCCCCACGCCCCCCGGTGGTACGATATTCCACTAAAAGTGTAATGTTAGCATACTCCATAGGAAAATAGATTTTTTGTCCTTTACCAAAAATTAATCCTGATAGTTTGAGCGCTTTGACAGGAAAAGTTAGTACCAGGGGTGTCTGGGGGGTGTGGAATACCCCACAGCTATCTGTGTCTACTCTCACCAAAAGAGGGCTATAGATAATTCTTCCGTTTATACGCCCTAACAATATCATGTTAGATACTAAGAAAACGTAATTGAATTTTCGTAAGCTGCTGGGGGGTATTCCATACCCCCCAAACCCCCCGGTGGTACGTTTTTCCACAAAAAGTGTAATGTTAGAATACTCCATAGGAAAATAGATTTTTTGTCCTTTTCTAAAAACTAATCCTGATAGTTTGAGCGCTTTGGCGGGAAATGTTACTACCAGGGGGGTCTGGGGGGTGTGGAATACCCCACAACTATCTGTGTCTACTCTCACCAAAAGAGGGCTATAGATAATTCTTCCTTTTATACGCCCTAAAAATATCCTGTTAGGTACTGAGAAAACGTAATTAAGTTTTCGTAAGCTGGGGGTATGGAATACCCCCCACGCCCCCCGGTGGTACGATATTCCACAAAAAGTGTAATGTTAGAATACTCCATAGGCAAATAGATTTTTTGTCCTTTTCTAAAAACTAATCCTGATAGTTTGAGCGCTTTGGCGGGAAATGTTACTACCAGGGGTGTCTGGGGGGTGTGGAATACCCCACAACTATCTGTGTCTACTCTCACCAAAAGAGGGCTGTAGATAATTTTTCCTTTTATACGCCCTAACAATATCATGTTAAATACTGAGAAAACGTAATTAAATTTTCGTAAGTTTGGGGGTATTCCATACCCCCCAGACCTCCCGGTGGTATGATATTCCACAAAAAATGTAATGTTAGCATACTCCATAGGAAAATAGATTTTTTTGTCATTTTCCAAAAACTAATCCTGATAGTTTGAGCGCTTTAGCGGGAAAAGTTAGTACCAGGGGTGTCTGGGGGGTGTGGAATACCCCACAGTCTTGTCTGTGTACTTTCAGCAAAACAGAACATGATAATTCTTTCTTTTTTACGCCCCAACAATCCCATGTTAGGTACTGAGAAAACGTAATTAAATTTTCACGTCTCAGGAGTATTAAGGACATACTACCAGTCATGACTTATGACCTTTGATAGAAAATTCCCGATTTCAGACTCAGTCCCCAACACTCAAGAAGATGCAGGACTCAAAACTCATGATTTAAGGCTCAGGTGGATTCAAGACGTGAAAATTCACGATTAAGGATTTAAGACTAAGGACTCGCGAGATTCAAAATACAGAGCTGAAGATACAGGATTCAAAAATGCAGGTTAAAGACCCAGGATTTTGGACCCAAAGCTCAGAACTCCAAAGGATTTGCAATTCAGGGTTGAGAATGCAAAATTTAGTTTCAACAATTCAACAATTCGGGACTTGGGATTGAAGCCCTACAGCTCAGTTCAGATGATCCTGGCTTAAAATTCATGGTTCAGGATTTACAAGATTTAAGTGGGCCCCAGACTCAAGAAGATACGGAATCCAGAGCGCACGATTCAAGATAATTCAGAATGAAGGACTCACGACTTGGAACTGTTCGGGATTTCAGTATTCAGAATACATGGCTCAGGATGCAGGATTCAAAATTCCGGGTCCGTTTTTGTGTGGATTTTTAATTAAGAACCCAAGGCTCAGAACTCAAAACTCAAGTGCAAATTCCTAATTCCGGGTTAAGCAAGCAGGATTCGGATTCGAAAATGTACGATCTAGGATTCAAGACATGCGAATTGACACTCAACACTTAAGAGGATGCTGGATAGAAACGCATAATTCAGAGGAATTCAAGAGTCAAGACGAATCAGTGTTTTCGATTTAGGGCTCAACGCTCAGAGGTTAAGAGTATTCAGAACACAAGGTACAGAATGCAGGAGTCAAAATTACAGATTAAAGGTCCAGGGTCCTAAAGGTTCAGAATTTTTAGAAACCGAGACTAAATAATTCCGTACACTGATTTCAGGTTCTAAACTTTTGAACCTCAAGGAAGATTCAAGATTTAAGATCCAAGAGGATTCACGACTCGGCACTCAAGGGAGGAGAGATGACATATAGGATTCAGAATGCACGATTCAAGACCCAGGAAGGTTTCAGGATTAAGGATTCACGGCTTGGGACACAAATTTTAAAATACGTAGGTAGTTGAAGATTCAGGATTCGAAAATACGGGTTAAAGGCCCACAATTTTGAAAATTCCGAATATTAGACCCAAAGTTCGGATCTCCAGAGGATTTGCATTTCAGGCAACAATGCAAAATTTGGTTTCAATCATTCAGGATTTGGGATTCAAAACCTACAACTCAGTACACATGATCCTGGATAAAAATTCATGGTTCAAAATTTACAAATTAGGATCTAAGTGGACTCAAGGCTCAAGAAGATACGAGATCCAGAGCGCACGATTCAAGATTCAAGGATTAACGAGTTGAGTCTCAACACCGATCGGGGCTTCAGTATTTAAAATACATGGCTCAGGATGTGGGATTCAAAATTCCGGATTGAAGATCTGTTTTTGTGTGGATTTAGAATTCAGAACCCAAGGCTCAGGGAATTCTGAATTCGGGGTTTAAGATGCTGGATTCAGTTTCCAAAGGCTCAGGGGTCAAGAGGGTTCAATATTCAGGATACAGGATTCAAGACTTAAGAAGATTCAGGAATTACGACCCATGACCCATAATCCTGATTATGAAAATCCTGAACGAAACCATATAATTATGATGTAATCCTGCATCGTATCTGAGCCTACATAATTAGCAATTTTAATTGATAGTTTAATGCGGATTGTGTAATTAGTGAAATCATGCAGGTACCTCCTACGACTATAAATAATTCACGATAGCGAAGTGTATTAACTATCCAGCTTGGTTGAAACATGCATATTGGTCTGTTTTTCTTGGTGGTAAGTTTGCAAATGACGGATTCAGTTTACTTTTTGATCCTCAAACAGGTGGCCATCTCCCGTGCTGAAATGGACAAACTGATTCCAAACCGAGGTAAGTCATGGAGGAACTGTGCGAGATGATTGACGCGATTTTCAGGTCCGAAAGGCTCACATCAAAAAACGCTACCACTGATACGTCCATTATCCGAATCGCTCTCGAGCTTCTTCGCACAAATCACCCACCCGAGTGGTTTCGTTCACCTGTTTTTGCCAGCGAACCTTCTGAAGAAGTTATACGAGATGAAAGATGGATTGCTGTCTCACGCACAAGACGTTGTAGACGCGAACGGCGCTCTCACCCACTCCTTTCCGTTGTCAGCAACAGAAATAAAGCATTAAAAATAATTTGATTAATTCTACCACGAACAAGGGACAAAGTACCTACGTCTGGGGTTGGTTTTTCAATTAGTAATTAGGGGAATTTGTATATTTCCAGTTGTACATTATATCGCTTATACACATTTTCGAACGCAACAATGCAGCTATCCTACACCTGCATTTTAAAATATCAAAATTCGAATTTTAAAGCTTGATTATTGGATCATGGACCTAATTTTTAAAATGGAACACCCTGTACCTACACTTTAATCGAACAAGGTATATTAAATTCTTTTCCAAAATATAACACTAAATTGGTATTACAACTTATGAAGAGAATTTAATAATCTTCATCTTCAATAAAAATACAGGGTGTTCCATTCAGAAAGGTGATGTCAGGATAAAAAAAAACAACCTTTCACTTGTTATCGTTTATTAAATGCCAGGGACGTACAGGAAGGGTAAATAGTTTAGGATCAGAAGTTATCCATACTGGCATTTGAGTCAGGTACAATTGTTCACATAAAAAAAATGGTTTTTCTTCGTTAAGTCCATCTTGATTGGCGACCCGTGAGTGAGCTCACCTACAAAGACAAGTTTAACAAGAAACGCAATGGGCAGATACTTACAGGATGGAGCAAAAATACCACGCTAGACTTGACTGTAAAATAAACATAAAAATAACAACTTTCCTGTACAAATGGGTACAGGGTGTCTCATATTTGCGACACTCATCTCCGTAATCGTTAATGCTATTAAAAAAACTATTACCGCGTCGCATGTGGCAGTTCCTAGAATAAGTAGAAGGGATCAGGAAAAAAATTGTGGAAATAGGCTAATTTTTAAAATGGAACACCCTGTCTACTTTAATCTAAAAATGTATATTACATTATTTTCCAAAATATAACACCAACTTGGTATTACAACTTATGAAGAGAATATTTTAACATCGTCCAAGATTAAAAATACAGGGTGTTCCATTCAGAAAGGTGAAGGTCAGGATAAAAAAAACAATCTTTCACTTGTTATCGTTTATTAAATGCCGGGGACGTACAGGAAGGGTAAATAGTTTAGGATCTGGAGTTAGCCATACTGGCATTTGAGTCAGGTACAATTGTTCACATAAAAAATGGTATTTCTCGTTAAGTACATCTTGATTGGTGACCTGTGATTGAGCTCACCTACAAAGACAAGTTTAACAAGAAACGCAATCGGCAGATACTTACAGGATGGGGGAAAAATACCACTCTAGACTCGACTGTAAAATAAACATAAAAATAACAACTTTCCTGTACAAATGGGTACAGGGTGTCTCATATTTGCGACACTCATCTCCGTAATCGTTAATGCTATTAAAAAAACTATTATCCGCGTCGCATGTGGCAGTTCCCGGAATAAGGGATCAGGTAAAAAAATTTGTGGATATATACGCTAATTTTTAAAATGGAACTCCCTGTATACTTTATTCTAAAAAGGAATATTTAATTCTATTCCAAAATATAACACCAAATTGATATTACAACTTATGAAGAGAATATTTTAATATCGTCCAAGATTAAAAATACAGGGTGTTCCATTCAGAAACGTGATGTCAGGATAAAAAAACCTTTCACTATCGTTTATTAAATGCCAGGGACGTACAGGAAGGGTAAATAGTTTAGGAGTAGGAGTAATCCATACTGGCATTTGAGTGAGGTACAATTGTTCACATAAAAAAATGGTTTTTCTTCGTTAAGTCCATCTTGATTGGTGACCTGTGATTGAGCTCACCTACAAAGACAAGTTTTACCAGAAACGCAATGGGCAGATACTTACAGGATGGGGCAAAAATACCACACGAGACTTGACGGTAAAATAAACATAAAAATAACAACTTTCCTGAACAAATGAATATACAGAGTGTCTCATATTTGCGACACTCGTCTCCGTAATCGTTAATGCTATTTAAAAAAAACTATTATCCGCGTCGCATGTGACAGTTCTCGGAATAAGGGATCAGGTAAAAAATTTGTGGAAATACCTACGCTAATTTTTAAAATGGAACACCCTGTATACTATATTCTAAAAAGGTAGATTAAATTCTTTTCTAAAATATAACACCAAACTGGTACTACAACTTATGAAGAGAATATTTTAATATCGTCCAATATTAAAAATACAGGGTGTTCCATTCAGAAAGGTGATGTCAGGATAAAAAAACAACCTTTCACTTGTTATCGTTTATTAAATGCCAGGGACGTACAGGAAGGGTAAATAGTTTAGGAGTATGAGTTATCCATACTGGCATTTGAGTCAGAGGTGCAATTGTTCACATAAAAAAATGGTTTTTCTTCGTTAAGTCAATCTTGATTGGTGACCTGTGATTGAGCTCACCTACAAAGACAAGTTTAACAAGAAACGCAATGGGCAGATACTTACAGGATGGGGCAAAAATACCACTCTAGACTTGACTGTAAAATAAACATAAAAATAGCAACTTTCCTGTGCAAATTGGTACAGGGTGTCTCATATTTGCGACACTCGTCTCCGTAATCGTTAATGCTATTAAAAAAAACTATTATCCGCGTCGCATGTGGCAGTTCCCAGAATAAGTAGAAGGGATCAGGTAAAAAAAATTGTGGAAATAGGCTAATTTTTAAAATGGAACACCCTGTATACTTTAATCTAAAAATGTATATTAAATTATTTTCCAAAATATAACACCAACTTGGTATTACAACTTATGAAGAGAATATTTTAACATCGTCCAAGATTAAAAATACAGGGTGTTCCATTCAGAAAGGTGAAGGTCAGGATAAAAAAAACAATCTTTCACTTGTTATCGTTTATTAAATGCCAGGGACGTACAGGAAGGGTAAATAGTTTAGGATCAGGAGTTATCCATACTGGCATTTGAGTCAGGTACAATTCTTCACATAAAAAATGGTTTTTCTTCGTTAAGTTCATCTTGATTGGTTACCGGTGATTGAGCCCACCTTCACAGACAAGTTTAACAAGAAACGCAATGGGCAGATACTTACAGGATGGGGCAAAAATACCACACGAGACTTGACTGTAAACATAAAAATAACAACTTTCCTGTACAAATGGGTACAGGGTGTCTCATATTTGCGACACTCATCTCCGTAATCGTTAATGCTATTAAAAAAAACTATTATCCGCGTCGCATGTGACAGTTCCCAGAATAATGGATCAGGTAAAAAAATTTGTGGAAATAGCTAATTTTTAAAATGGAACACCCTGTATACTTTAATCTAAAAAGGTATATTAAATTCTTTTCCAAAATATAACACCAAATTGGTATTACAACTTATGAAGAGAATATTGTAATATCGTCCAAGATTAAAAATACAGGGTGTTCCATTCAGAAAGGTGATGTCAGGATAAAAAAACAATCTTTCACTTGTTATCGTTTATTAAATGCCAGGGACGCAGAGTAAGGGTAAATAGTTTAGGATCAGGAGTTATCCATACTGGCATTTGAGTCAGGTACAATTGTTCACATAAAAAACGAAACGAAAACTAGAAACGTAATGGGCAGATACTTACAGGATGGGGAAAAAATACCACTCTAGACTTGACTGCAAAATGAACATAAAAATAACAACTTTCCTGTACAAATGGGTACAGGTGTCTCATATTTGCGACACTCGTCTCCATATTCGTTAATGCTATTAAAAAACTATTATCCGCGTCGCATGTGGCAGTTCCCAGAATAATAAGGGATCGGGTAAAAAAATTTGTGGAAATACGCTAATTTTTAAAATGGAACACCCTGTATACTTTAATCTAAAATACCTATATTAAATTCTTTTCCAAAATATAACACCAAATTGGTATTACAACTTATGAAGAGAATATTTTAATATCATCCAAGATTAAAAATACAGGGTGTTCCATTCAGAAAGGTGACGTCAGGATAAAAAAAACAACCTTTCATTTGTTATCGTTTATTAAATGCCAGGGACGTACAGGAAGGGTATAGTTTAGGATCAGGAGTTATCCATACTGGCATTTGAGTCAGGTACAATTGTTCACATAAAAAAAATGGTTTTTCTTTGTCAAGTCCATCTTGATTGGTGACCTGTGCTTGAGCTCACCTACAAAGGCAAGTTTTAACAAGAAACGCAATGGGCAGATACATACAGGATGGGGCAAAAATACCACTCTAGACTTGACTGTAAAGTAAACATAAAAATAACAACTTTCCTGTACAAATGGGTACAGGGTGTCTCATATTTGCGACACTCGTCTCCGTAATCGTTAATGCTATTAAAAAAACTATTATCCGCGTCGCATGTGACAGTTCCCAGAATAAGGGATCAGGTAAAAAAATTTGTGGAAATAGCTAATTTTTAAAATGGAACACCCTGTATACTTTAATCTAAAAAGGTATATTAAATTCTTTTCCAAAATATAACGCCAAATTGGTATTACAACTTATGAAGAGAATATTTTAAAATCGTCCAAGATTAAAAATACAGGGTGTTCCATTCAGAAAGGTGATGTCAAGATAAAACAATCTTTCCCTTGTTATCGTTTATTAAATGCCAGGGACGTACAGGAAGGGTAAATAGTTTAGGATCAGGAGTTATCCATACTGGCATTTGACTCAGGTACAATTGTTCACATAAAAAAATGGTTTTTCTTCGTAAAGTCCATCTTTGATTGGCGACCGTGATTGAGCTCACCTACAAAGACAAAAGTTTTAACAAGAAACGCAATTGGCAGATACTTACAGGATGGGGCAAAAACACCACTCTAGATTTGACTGTAAAATAAACATAAAAATAACAACTTTTTCCTGTACAAATGGGTACAGGGTGTCTCATATTTGCAATAGTCATCTCCGTAATCGATAATGCTATTAAAAAAACTATTATCCACGTCGCATGTGGCAGTTCCTAGAATAAGTAGAAGGGATCAGGTAAAAAAATTTGTGGAAAAACGCTAATTTTTAAAAAGGAACACCCTGTATATATTAATCTAAAAAGGTACATTAAATTCGTTTCCAAAATATAACACCAAACTGGTATTACAACTTATGAAGAGAATATTTTAATATCGTCCAAAGATTAAAAATACAGGGTGTTCCATTCAAAAAGGTGATGTCAGGATAAAAAAACAACCTTTCACTTATTATCGTTTATTAAATGCCAGGGACGTACAGGAAGGGTAAATAGTTTAGGATCAGGAGTTATCCATACTGGCATTTGAGTCAGGTACAATTGTTCACATAAAAAAATGGTTTTTCTTCGTTAAAGTCCATCTTGATTGAGCTCACCTACAAAGACAAGTTTAACAAGAAACACAATGGGCAGATACTTACAGGATGGGGCAAAAATACCACGCGAGACTTGACTGTAAAATAAACATAGAAATAACAACTTTCCTGTACAAATGATGCATGTTATCTTTATATTCAAAGAAAAAAATAGTCAGTAGATTATATAAAATTAGGTTACAATCACTAAATCACTTTATACAGATTCGGGGTGAGTAGCGGGCGCACCGCCCGTTTTACTTTCCAAAGAGAACGGGGGTATCCGACAGTCGAACGAGTAGCCATCCTCTCTCTCCATCCTAAACGTGCCCCTAGAAATCCAAGGAGAATGATCATGCTCATTTGTCGAAGCCGCCGATTTTACCACATGTGACCGCTGGGCGCCTGCAGGCTGACGTGACTACTGTACTGGAAGGCGGGCAGCGCTCGGGTCAGCGCGGGCTCTTGACCGACGACCCCTCGACCTCTTACCGTCTCCAGCGTGCCCGATAACGAGAATATCCTCCAGTGTCTTTCGCGCAGTTGCACTGAGAGATTGCCTAAGTTTTCTAAACGTATACAGTACCGCCACTGCAACAACAAAAAAAAAACAAAATGCCGGGTCTGGTTTGCCATGGACTCACCCAGTAAACTGAGTTGGTGTGCGATTCTCTACATCCCATATAAAAGGGGATCACAGTTACGCGAATATTTTCGGTCGTCTCCTTGTGGACGTCGGAGAGCTCCAGCCAGGGGTGGTTCTTGTTCTGCCATGCCCTTAGCGTCTCTTGAGATGTGAACGGTGGATCTGAAAATGTCCAGAGTGATTAAGTCTACTACTTTTGGACCACTCTCTAAATGGATAGCTTAAATTAGGCCAATTGACACTGTACACAATCAACTGCGTCACCGAGGAAGTAAACAATCCGGCTAAAAATAGCCTACCTTTGTCAGGGTTGTGTGCCAAGAACTTGTCGAAAAGTTCATGCTGCAGAGGTGACTTCTCGGCGCTCGCGTACGGTATGATATCCTCGTGGGCGACGTAGTCCAAGCCCGGTATCGCGTAGAGACTGCGCGACGACTCCTGGTTGCCTAAAAACGTTACAGCTTCGGTTTGGGCTCGCTACAACGGGCCGATTGATAAAACGTTCGCACGCGAACACCCAACTTACGATGTAGGGACAGTCACGTTGATCGATGAGGACCTGGTAGAAGGTGTGCGTACGTCCTCGCACCTCCTTGTTGACCGCGGCCGACTCGTCGTCGCCGTCGCGCTGCTGATGGGGCAGGTCACGATCGTAGACCCGAGCGAGCCAGGGGAAGAGCACCACGCCGCGATAGCCGAAGACGCGATGCAGGAGAAGCTGCCCAGTTTCGTACTTGCCGCTGAGTTTCGGCTGCTCGAGCTTGCCGACTTCGGCCAATCTACAAACAAATTGCGTCTCACTCACATAACCTCAAACTTCCACCAGAAACGAATTTAACGAATGAATTTACTCACCTGGCGAATTGTCGAGTGTTTGCCTGAATTCGTCTGCACAAAATACATCGTTTAACACTCAGAGATAACATTCCCATTTTACATTTTCGTTTCAACTGCAACGTTTCTGCGCAATGTCGACGCGCATTTTACTTGCCGTGATTATTTTTAGGGAAAAATCGATCGGAAACTGTCAAACGAACGTGGAAATTAAAGGGATTTTTTTCAAATAAAGAACATGATCGGTCGGTTTTTGTAAATGAAGTTGCTGGCGAGTGACACTGGAAATTTTGAAAGTTTCGTTGACGGTTGTAATTGGCGTTTGCTCAAAGTTGTCAACTTTTTATAGATAAATTCCTTCGTTATTTCGCGATGGACTGCGGAAAAGGCGAGGCCGTTATGGAATGTGAGGATGTTTCAAGAGAATGTAATAATTGCAGGAAAAGTGAGTGATTGTCCATTTTGTAGTTAGACGATAATGCGAATTTGTTTAAAAACGAAAAAATCAAAATTGCAAATTTTAAGTGTATGTGGTAGAGCGCATGCGCTTTCGTCAGATGTTTTCCCATGTGATTACAGTGTCACCAATCGCACATACCAAACTCCCTAGAATTTGTACAGTACCATACAGGGTGCTCAAATCAATTGTTAATAGATTAATTATATCTGATAAAATCTGTCACAAGCGTCAAAGCTAGTAAAATTTGGCACAGGTTTTTGCGTTGTTTTCATCCTCTATATCTACAAATAATCTACTAATCTATTAATCTACAAATAATTTTTTATTTTATTGTTTTATTTTTGTATATACATTATTCACAGGGTCAACAAGCTGCCCTTTAAGTGCATATTCTCCCCTCCTTGTTTCAAAAACTGTAATTTTTTGAATGACAACTTTTAAGCGGAGCACTCTCTATCCAAAAGTCTGACACTAAAAAAGATTTAAAAATATTTGATATAGATTAAGAAAGCTTTAAAAAAATTAATTTATTTCACAACCTTTTTTTAAAATTGTTTTAAATCTTTAGTTAATAATTTATTTTAGAATTTTTTTTAAATCACTTGAGTTTTTTTTTAATATTGTGTGTTATATTTTTGAAAATAGAATGTAATTGCTGTCCTTTTACGTTAAAATATAGATGGTGTTCTATTTAAAAAATTGAGGTTAGGTCCGCCAGATTGTTCCACAATCATTTTCAAGAAACTGTTGTAATACACATTTTTCTGTATCTCTTTTAACTCAGAATATATACGGCAATTCTGAAATTGACATGTTTTATTTTCTCCCGTATCTCGCGAGCGAATATTTTCAAATTTTTATATTATCATCTAAAGTTGTCCCTATAAGAGTGGGGAAAATGGGACACCTTGTACGTGGAATATTTACTGGATCCAGGAGTATGAAATAAGCCTGGCAGGGCTTCCACAGTACTTTTTGGGAAGATTATCAGATCCTTTTCTCCAAAGTAATATGGCAGAGAAAGTATGTCTGGGGAATCTGAGGGGGGGGGGGGTGCTCCATACAGGAGTAGTTTCTGCATAGGAGGACTAGATAACTCTTTTTGATATAACGCTCTGTACTATTTTTTGAGAAGATTATCAGGTCCCCTTCTCCAAAGACTGCAGAAAAAGTAGCTCCGGGGTTTGGGGGGGGCGGGGGGGGGGGCGATATGGAACACCCTCAACAGTTGAAAGCCCAGCAGTAGCAGTAGTAGGAGGACTCGACAAATCTTTTTCATGGAACGCTCTGTACTTTCATGGGGGTATTCATATAATGAAAATGGAACTATGCTACACTGGGGGTATGGAATAGCCCCCCGTCCCATCGGTAACACAGGGCTCCCACAGTAGTTTTTGGTATGATGATCATAAAAATTAATAAAAAAATTAATTAAAATAATTAATAATAATTTACTTTATCCTCTCCTCCAAAGAAGTATTTCAGAGAGAGTAGGTTCGGAGGTTTACAGTCTTCCGAACTATCCTGGACTCTAGATTTTGGATTCTGGATTACGATACTTGATTGGAGCTGTGTTATTCCGTGTGTATTTCAATCAAAGATAGCATATTAAATTCTCTTTTCAAAAAATAACCACATTAAAAAAATTCAAGTCTTTTTGAAATTTTTTTAATCATTTGAACCCTTTTTGATTGTTTGAAATCTTTTAATTATTTTGAATCGTTTTTGAATTTTGTTCATTCCTGATGGTGTGTTATATTTTTGAAAAGAGAATTTAATACGCTATCTTTTTTTATTAAAATGTGCAGGATGTTTCATGTAAAAAATAAGGTTAGTCCGATAACTTTTTTAACTGGTCCCATTAGTTATTTTGAAAACGGATAAAGAAACTTTTGTAATAAACATTTTTCCGCATCTCTTCCAAAAAGAAAAATATAAGGTCTCAATTTAAGGTCTCAAGAAAAAATGTTTTCCCGAGAAATTTTGGTGTAGTCGATTTTTGGTAAAAAAGGAAGGTTGTACACTGCCTTTTTTTGAGGCCCGAAAAAAAAATTGTCTCAGATCGACCGGGAAAAAAATATTTCTTATAGAATGTGCCCTGTAGGATCCATAATTTCAAACCGTTTTAAGATTGGGCTACCAGTTCAAAAGTTACAGCCCTTTGAATTTTCTTTCGAATTTGGTTTCTAGTCTATAACTTTTGATTTAGAAGTCTAATCGAAAAAGTACGAATTGTTTTGGATTCTACGCCCCAAAATTAATTAGAAAAAGTGTTTTCCCGAGAAATTTTGGTGTAGTCGATTTTTGGTAAAAAAGGAAGGTTACACACTGCCGTTTTTTGAGGCCCGAAAAAAAATTGTCTCAGATCGACCGGGAAAAAAGTATTTCTTATAGAATGTGCCCTGTAGAATCCATAATTTCAAACAGTTCGAAGATTGGGCTACTAGTTCGAAAGTTACAGCCCTTTGAATTTTCTTTCGAATTTCTTTTAATTATTTTGAATCGTTTTTGAATGTTGTTCATTCCTGGTGTGTTATATTTTTGAAAATAGAATTTAATACGCTATCTTTATTAAAGTGTACAGGATGTTTCATGTAAAAAATAAGGTTAGTCCGATAACTTTTTTAACTGGCCCCATATAGTTATTTTGAAAACGGATAAAGAATCTTTTGTGATAAACATTTTTCGTATCCCTTCCAACAAAGAAAAATATAGGTTCTCGATCTGAAGTTAACGATTTTTTTATTTTTCTCCGTATCTTTTAGGGAAGGGAATATTGTCAAATTTTGATTTGAGTCAAAAAGAGCGCATGGTGTAAAAGTGTCGAAAATGGGACAAATGTACATAAAAATACCGTCGCAGTAGTCCATATCTCCCTCCTTTTAGTGGCTCTCAAACAAAATTGAAAAAATGGCGATGCTCAGTCTTAAAAGCAAAATGTGATTCTGTTCGTCTGTACCTCCGTCCGTCTCTCTGGGTAGAAATAGAAAATTTACGCGTTTTTCATTTGTTTCTTCGTCATTTTTGCGTTCTGTTCTTAATTATTGGAAAAGATGGAAAGTGGAAGGCCGATGAAACTGGAAGACGAAAAGTTGATTGCCCGCGGCCCAAAACAGGAGAGTAGGTAACAGAGCAACAAACTAGAGACCAAGGTTGGAAATCTGAAGACTGGAAACAGGATTGATATCTGGAATGGAATGGAGCTGTGGGCCGACATTTTTTCACCATTTCTAAGAGGACATATGGAGTACATTTTTTGGAAAATTCTTAGATAGATTTCCATGGAGATCTATAGTCCCCCCCCCCTCTCTCTCTTCTCTCTTCTGTACCTGGTAGTGTTTCCGTTACACTATTTTCAAGGCAGCATCTAAAGCTAGTTAGTGCAGAATTGTGAGCGAAACTTACTCCCCGCCCCCCACTTACACTTACTTCATTTTGAGTTTTCGGATATCAGAAAGGAGTTACAGCACCCCCTAACCCCCTTGTCATATTTGAAAAAAACTGAAAACCGGCAACATTGCAACGGCAAATAGAAAATGGTTGGTGGTCCAAAACCCGAAACTGAAAATGGTGGTTGGTGGCGCGAATCAAGGCTGGTGGCAAAGGAAACTGTTGAACCCCGAAACAGGGAACGAGCAGAGTTGGAACAAAATGCTATACTTTGATTGGTGTGTTTTTACCTCGTGACTGATTTCTCTTTTCGTTTCAGGGTAATCGTGTGAACGATGCCGGAAAACGTAGAGCTTCAGCAGCTTGTCGACGAGGAACTCGAAGACGACGCCAGTAGCCAGCCGAAACGCAGCCTATGCAACTGCCCATACCTAGGACTGATACTAGCAACCCTAAGCTCCCTTTTCTTCTCGCTTTGCTCCGTGATCGTAAAATGGATGACCGACGTCGATCCGATCGCTTTGGCCGCCTACCGCTACATCGGCGTTCTCCTGCCCGCCATACCGATCCTAATCTACAAGCAGGAGTACGTCTTCCCGAAGGGGAAACGCATCATGCTGCTGCTGCGCTCGTTCACCGGTACGGCGGCGCTCATGCTGAGCTTCTACGCGTTCCGGCACATGCCGCTGGCGGACGCGTCGGTGATCGTCTTCTCGGTGCCCGTGTTTACGGCGGTCTTCGCGCGCATGTTCCTGAAGGAGCCGTGCGGCGTCTTTAGCGTATTTTCGGTTATTTTGACGCTGATCGGCGTCGTGTTCATCACGCGGCCGCCTTTGCTGTTCAGCGAGACCGTGGACGCGCTGGGCAGCTCGAGCGAGAAGTCCGAGATTTGGGGTGCGGTCGCCGCGTTCTCGGCGACGCTGTTCGGCGCGAGCGCGTACGTGCTGTTGAGGGCGCTGAAGGGTATACACTTCTCTGTGATCATGACTAACTTCGGGTCGTTCGCGTTGGTCCAGTGTCTTTTGGTGACGTGGATTATCGGCGGACTCTGCGTGCCACCGTGCGGGACCGATCGGTACTTGATAGTCGCCTTGGCTCTCTTCAGCTTCGGCGGGCAGATACTGCTGACCGTCGCGCTGCAGATGGAGCAAGCCGGTCCGGTCGCGATCGCGCGCAGTAGTGATATCGTGTTCGCTTTCATTTGGCAAGTTTGGTTTTTCGACGAGGTACCAAATAAGTACTCGGTCGGTGGAGCGTTCCTAGTCATGACTTCAGTCATACTGACTGCTCTCCGCAAGTGGGTTCTCGCTCTGCCCGATAACGCTAGCTTAAAAACCAAACTTAATATCTTATCAAAGTAGACCCGACTGATTATTGCAGCTATATCGGTTTATTCTAGTCAGCTTCATTTTGATTCTTGTGATTTGCCTAGTCGTTCTGGATGAGAGTCTTGGGGGGCCAAAAGAATTTTGTTTCTAGTTGACAGGCACAATTGACATATCTGTCAATTGATGCAATTGACATCTGTCATTAGAACAACTAAAATAGGAAGACATATCTATCAATTGCTGCGAATGTCACAGACAGATGTGTCAATTACTGCGAATGTGACAGCTAGACCTGTCAGTTACTGAGAATGTGACAGATAGATCTGTCATTTACTGCAAATCTGACAGATGTGTCAATTGCTGCGAATGTGACAGATAGATCTGTCATTTACTGCGAATCTGACAGATAGATGTGTCAATTTAAGAAAAAAATTGCCTATGGCCCTTTCAACTCCTTCCTAGTTTTGGATGTAATCGTACTGTGAAAATTAGATCGATAAAAATATTTTTTCATCAATCTAATCGTATGTATTCGGCGTCCTTTGAAATTGTGACACAGTATTATCTTCTCTTGCAGGGTTAGGATATGTCTAACTCGTAAATTCTAAATACTCCTAGGATTAGTATTCATGTTCACTACTACCGTAACACGGCGCAATAAAATTGGTGCAGCGTTCCGTTTTGAAAATAAGCGATGGCGTGGAGTACTGTGTAAAATGAAGTGGACGAAGTCGTCGTATTGCACAGTTACTCCATCTGTTAAACACTGTCTAGATGAAGGTCTTATTCTGTGGTCTAGAAGTAGATTATTGATTGTTTGGTTTAATCATTACATATGTATTTTTGTGTAAAATGTTTTGTTTGTTTGCTCTAATCAATAAATTTGTTTATAAATAACGATTGCGCCTTATATTTTCAAGAAGATGGTATTATTAATCTTTGTGACCGTTTGACACTCTTAGATTGGGAGGTGTTACACTCGGGGTTGTCTCAAATGCTTCGCAATGAAAAGTAAAAGAGCTCTACACAGAGCTATTTTTTAAAATCTACGCTCGTATAATGCAAGAGAAGAACCAAGATCTTGCCTTCCTCCAACATTTTCCAGGTATTCACAATAAAGTTTCACATCACCAGTACATGTGTCTCATCCAGAAGTTCTACCTACTCCCTTTAATTCTGACACTTCGTTTTCAAGATATTCGCTTCAATTTCACCAATAGATGTCTCGTCCAGACGATCCATTTTGCCGTTGTGAATACTCCCCTCCCAGAAACCTTTTCCAACATTCGTTCTTAAAGTTTTGCCATCACGAATGAATATATTTCTTCCAGACGCCCCAATCGCCCATTGTAAGTGCCTTCCTCCGACAATCCGCTCTTGAAATGTAAGGAATTATAACCGATCACGATAAGGAGTCGAGGAGGGGGATTAGGGTTGGCACAGAAATTGATTCCTTTCGGTGAGACCTTTCAAGAGTACCTACCATTAAGGATAAAACCAGTTCCTCCCCTCCCCGAACCCCCTATTTTGATAAAAGGTAAGAACGAAGGGCAGTAGTTGGTAGAAAACAGTTCCTTTTGTTGAGAGCTTCAAAAATCTATTTCTATCCCCATCCCAACGCCACCCACTGATCTCGAAAAGGAGTCACGCAGGAATGTCATAGTTTGTAGAAACCAATTCATTTCCATGAGACCTTTCATTAGAATACCATGAAGGGTAAACGTGCACCCACCTCCCCCAATTTTTAAGCTTTACTTGGCACTACTAAAGACATGCGTATGCAACTCTGAGACCTATTGGTTGTCGTATGTAAAAATTATGCACCTGTTTTACTTTCAAAAACGGCATTTCAGGAAATAATTCATGTGGGGAGGAGGGGGGGGGGCTTCTTACGACAACAAAATGTGACGACCCTTTTTTTACTTGTTAAAAATACCTACGCTAAAAGAGTGGTAAAGGGTAAAGGAAAGCGGGACAGTACTTGGAATAGAAGAAAAAGAGGGAGACCGCAGGAGGAAGAACAGGAAAGGGTAGGAAAAGCTAGAAGATAGCACGAAAGCAAAGGAGGGTGCAGAACACGGCAGGAGAGCAGAATGCAAGCGAGAGAGCAAGGAGAAAAAGAAAGTAGAGTAGTAAACGGGTAAGAGGTGGCAGAAGAAACGAGTAGTTTTTTCGGCCTTTGTTGGGATAGAGCTGAAAATTTGTAGGGGGGTGTAGGCAAAAGAAAGAGAACTCTGTTCAGTAGATGCTCTTCTCTAATTAAGTAGGCAATGTAAGGTTAAAAGAAAGACAGAACATAAATAATGACAAAGGGGAGGCAGGAAAAGAAGGGAGAAGGCATGAGACTATCAGAAGCCAAAGAAACGCAAGAGATGAGAAAAAGTGTAACGGGGCGGGAGAGAGAAGGGGCGCACGTAGAAGGAGGGTGGAGGAGTCCAATCAAGAGAGAAAAAAGATGAGAGAGGAATGAAAGGGGCTGACAGGACGCAAAAAAGCGGTTATGAGAGGAAAAAAATAAAGATGGAATTAATGCACGGAGGGGAGTAGGAGAGGGAAGGGGCAGGACCTAACGTTAGAGTGCAGCAGATAGCAAAAATGGTTAGGATAATACTGAACTGGGGAGGATAAGAAATGAATAAGTAGAGGAGAGCCGCAAGATGGCGACAACATATAGGGTGACAAGAAGCGGGACAGGGTAGGAGAGAATAAAGATCTGGAAAGTACAGAGGGCGGCAGAAAAGTGTGGAATAAGAAAAGAAAGGGAGTGATAGGGCGGGGAAAAACCAAGTACGTAAAATAAAGAAAAAGATAGCAGAAAAGCGGGAGAAAGTCTGAGAGGACAGGAGAGATCAGGGAAGGGAGCTACGAGGGAAGTGGATAGCAGGGAGGGGGTAGTTAAAACATCGCAGAACATCAACGAGTGAGAACGAGATGGATGGGGTACGAGCAATCAGAAAGGGCAGTAGCTTCTTGTCTAATGGGGAGGATTAACGGTATCGGGGACTGCAGCAAAGAGAAGTGTGTGAGCAAGGGTGAGAAGGTACGAGAGGACAGGTAACTTGTTGATTGAGGTTGATGTCGATAAATACTGAAAATTAGGTTGAATTAAATTGAAAAAAAGACTAAACCTCCTCCCTCCTCCTTACTCGTTTATTAGGTATACCATTTTTAAATAATCAGTAAGTATAGAGGAGGTTCCAAGTAATTTATACAATTGAAGAGCAGGGAAGAGTGGGAGAGAGTAGAAGATAATAGAAAAAATACAGCGTGAAGGGGCAAAACAGAGGGAAGTTCGGCAAAAGAAGGTGGTTGGTGAGATATGGTAGGAGAAAGAAAAACAGTATGAGAGAGCACACGGAGGATAGTAAAAGGGAGAGAAGAGGAGAAAGAAAACACAACAGGCAAGGGAGGTTATATTAAAAAAACACACAAGAGAGGGAATATGATATTAAAGAACAAAACATGGTGTAGCAGGAGAGTGCATGAGAAGGATGGGGAAGGCAGGAATAAGGACGGGAACGTATAAAAGGGCGATGCCGAACATGAAGAACAGGAAAGGGCAGGGCTGGGAAGAAGAAAGAGGGCATTAAGGACATAATGCAGTGAGGGAGGGATTAGTAGAAGGCAGGAAGGAACAGCACCGTGCGGAAGGGCATGAGAAGACAGCGGAAAGCCAATAAAGAAGAAGACAGAATGACACGAAAGAAGAAGGCATGAAGGACATGAGAATGCGGAAAACGATGGGAGAGAGTATACGAAAACGAGACAGAACGGGAGACAGGGAAAGGGACGGTACAGACAGACATAAGAGACGGAGAATTAGTGGACACCACAGCAAAAAAAAATCACGCGTAGGTAAGCTAAAAATAAGTTTCAATTAAACCTAACAAATATGTTTAAGTAAAAGAATTTTAATTTGTTTATTGTTTATTTTCTATAATTAACAATAATTTACATTTTTTAATAATAATTTTATTTATGTATGTAGGAACCGTAAAAAAATGGAACCGAAAATTACTGAAGCCACAGAACCGAAACCGGTACCGGAACCCTTAAACAATCATTCTACTTAAATAGTGCGGAACCGGTTCCAACCCTTGCTTAATTCTGACCCACGATCCGTAAAACCCTTCTCTTGTGCTTCTAGCGATAAAAAAACTCTGGACAGAATGAAAGCTTTCCAAGGCAACTGGGTTATCTAGAGCTTTTCACTTTCGTAGGCATTTCCCTATGCACTTTCCAGGGCTCTCAAACGAGTCGCATGATTTCTAAAGAGGATGTTTTCAGAGCTTTCGCTCATACTAGCGTTTTGTAATTGAGATTCCTGAACCCTTGCCAGAGTCATTTTTGACGCCCTTCTAGGCATTATTTAGTGGTTTCTAGATTCCTCCAGCTTTCGAAAGGAAGCAAACGGCCCCTGGAAAAGACACAATTGACTCTGAAAAGCAATAGAAATATGGAAACCTTCTGGATTCTGTGCAGGGTGCAGTTTTAAAACTCTGGAAAATCCAGAGCGTTTCTGAGCGTTTTCCAGTGTTCGAGTCCCCTCCTAAACTCATTTCAGGAATTGTAGGTGCCCTGTAACACATTGGTGAATTATCTAGGTATTGTGGAGCCCTTTCCCGGTTCGCCTAGTTTTGGATATGGTACAAAAGGGCTACGGACGCTCTCTGAAAGACGTAAAAGGTTATGAAAAGCGCTGGAAAGTGCTTACTACAGCCTCTATTCTAATGCAGTGCAGTTTTTCAAGGATTTTCTAGAACGTTCGTGAGGATTTTGAGCCGCCAGAAGGGTTTTCCATCCCGTCGTGAACTTTTGAAATTCATTTCAGAACTTTACTGCATCCCTTCCAGGGAGTAGTGCTGTCTGTGTACTCTCCAGAGCTTTATCAATGGCATTTTAAAGCGGTAGAGTTTTCCAAAGTTGCGCTAGAACACCCGTAAGGATTTTGTGCCAATAACAGCGCTTTATATGTACTTCTGGAACCTTTCTCCGGGCCCTAGCCTTTTTCAGAGATTTTAGGACTGTCTATCTTTGGAAAGGGAACAGAAATCTTTCTAAAACCCCAAAAAAAACGCAACAGACTCTATAAAACACTAAAAATCTTAGGAAAGCGTTTAAAAAGTGCCTCCTATACTACTTTCCAGGATTTTTGATGCACTATATGCACAATCAAGCGCTTTTTAGGTTTATGTAACTATGTAAAGGGCAAAGAAAGCCTTCGGAAGTTCCCGAAAAAATAAGAGAGTTTGGAAAACGCTACCAAGCTACTAGAAATCCTTCTAAATCCTTTCCAGGGCGTTATTGGTGGAATTTAAAAGCAGATGAGCTTTCTAGAGCTTTTCTAGAACTTCCGTGATCATTTTGAGCTTATACCATTGCATTTTCGAGAATTTTAAACCTCGCCCAGGTATTCTTTACTTCCTTTCCTTTTGAACTCTCTACACTCTTCACAGGGCCCCCTAGATTTTTTCCACAGTTGCTCTGGGTACTTTCTAGGGTTCATTAGGAAGTTGTAAGCGCTTTCTAGACTCTCCTAGTTCTGGGAATGGTACAGTTGAAAGTTTTTGAAGGAACATATTAGATCCTGAAAAGCACTAGAAAGCTTTGGAATATTTTGTAGGGGTTTTCAGGAAATTGGAATTTTCCAGAGTTATTAGGTATAGAAACTTCGTAAGCATACTATGCTTTCTCAAAGTTTCCCAGCCCTTCTTCACTTCCACATTCAAAAGCCTTCCAGGGACTATCAAGCGCTTTTTAGGTTCATCTAACTTGGAAAGGGCACATAACGCTTTCGAAAGCTCTAAAAAAATTAAAACTTCGGGAAAGTGCGAAAAGGCGTTTTGGACCCTACAAGTGAAACTCCAAACTATTGGAGTTTTTCAGAGCTTTCTTAGAATTTTCGTGAGTATCTTGATCCCCGGTTCCAGGCCCTTCTAGGAGCTGTAGAGCGATTTCCAAGCTTAACTCGATTTGAAAAGTCGCGCAGAAAGTACTTGAACGCCTTGAAAAAGACGTAAGAGACTCTTCAAAGAACCCAAAGGCTTGGAAGGGTCTTTTGGTCGCTTTTCTATGCAATTTTGAGTTTTCTAAACCTTTCCAGGGCCCTCTTTCGGAGATGTTAGGTGCTCACTATGACATCTGTGTTGTATCAATCGTGCTCTAGCTTTGAAGATGCCGCCGAAATCCCCTAAAACAGATAAAGGATTAAAAGCCTTAGAAAAGCCTATTCGACACTTTCCAAGGTCTTACAAAAAGAGTTTCTAAAGATTTTCCAGAATTCTCTTAAGATTTTGACCTTTTCCAATTTTTCTAAACACTTTCCTATAATCCCCAGATTCCCTCTAGTGACTTCAAGCACTCTCCATGTACCCTCCAGGGCTCCCTGGGAACTCTTGAAAGCTTTTTCGCCTTTCCAGTTCTGGAAAGAAAAAGAGACCTTGGAAGACACTAAAAGGATTTCTATACGTTTCTATACAAATCGCAAAATTACTGCAGAGAAACTTGACGCGAGGAGAATTGAGGGAGATTTTAAGGGAGTTTGAAAGGAAATTGAAAATTACTTGATAGGAACATGAAGGAAGTTTCACGTGAATTGAAAGGAAGTGGAGGAAACACGAGGAGTTTGAAGGGATCCAATTGAAAAAAGTTTGAGAATTGATTGGATCTGCCGCAAACAGACCGTAGGTCTTAGTTTATTTAATTCCTGAATGGCAACTTAAGTAAGAACATAATTTGTACTGTAAACACACTGCTTGATGCCAATCTAAGAACGTGCCTTGGGAACGAAAGCGGTTAAAAGGTCGATGGGCAGTGGAAACACAATCGTAGAGTTCTTCTCGGCCGAAATCGTGTTGAGGGTCTGCAGGTACCTCAGTTGTAGGGCCGCGGGCGACTCTGAGATAACGTCCGCGGCCTCCTTAAGCGCACGCGATGCCTTCATCTCGCCCTCCGCAGCAATAACCTTGGCTCTGGCTTCGCGCGACGCCTCCGCTTCGGCAGCCATCGCCCTCTGCAGTTGAGTCGGCAGACTCACGTCTTTACTATTGGGCATGCGCGTTATTTCACTGACAAACGGTTAGGGGTTGCTTACATTTCGACTCGTTCGACTTTAACTCCCCACGGATGGGTGGCTTCATCGAGTACTTCCTGCATCGCCGCCGAAATGGACTCGCGCTCCGATAGAACGTCGGTAAGGTTCTTCGTGCCCAGTATGTTTCTCAGGGAGGTCATCGCCAGCATCATCGTCGAGTGACTGCCAAATTAAAATCAACGTACATCCAGAGTACAATTTTTGGTGCACACCAAAAATTCAAATTCAAATTAATTCACGTTAATTTACATTAATTCAAATTAATTCACATTAATTCAAATTAATTCACGTTAATTTAAATTAATTCACGTTAATTTAAATTAATTCAAGTTAATTCAAATTTAATTCACGTTAATTCAAATTTAATTCACGTTAATTCAAATTAATACCAGTTAATTCGAATCAATTCACGTTAACTCAAATTAATTCACGCTAATGCGAATTAATTCACGTTAATTCGAATTAATTCACGTTAATTCAAATTAATTCACGTTAATTCAAATTAATTCACGTTAATTCAAATTAATTCACGTTAAATTAATTCGCGTTAATTCAAATTAATTCAGAGGAGTGTACACCAAAAATTCAAAGTTGTTTCCCCCTAGTCCAAGACACTTACCGGAAATCTGTAACCTTTACCACCGCATTGAGTGGATCTTCTACTCTGTAGTAGACCACGGCATCCACCATAATCGTTACCGCATCCTTCGTGAGAGCCTAAAAGACTTTGGAACCTTACACAAAACATACGGGTTGTTACCTCCTGAGCTGGTATATCAAATGAGACCGTTCGGAGATCGACGCAAGTGTAACTGTCAATGCATGGAAGCACGAAGAACGTACCGGGCCCGATCGCTCGACCTTTCTTCAATCTTCCCAGTCGAAAGATGACCGCGCGTTCGAACTCGGCTACGACCTACGAATTGGACAATGAGGCTCGTCCGTTTTAATGCACGACCAACTTACTTTAATGCAGACAAATACCGCCAGCGGCATCGTGAAGATGAAGAAGAGGATCGATGCGACCGTGACGATGCACTCGATTCGAGTTCCCATGGTGTGCTGAAAGCAAAAATCACTGTGTTAATTTTTATCAAATTTCTTTTGCTCTGGAAAGGGCAAACGAGAATGAAAAACTCTAAAGAGCTGCCAAAAATGCTGTGAGCATTTTAGATACTGCTCCCAAGAGCGTTCTAGGCTCTGGACAGAATTAAAGCTTTCCATGGCAGGTGCATTTCTAGAGCGTTTCAATTTTGTGGGCATTTTGAGCGTGATAGAGGGTTTTCTATGCAATTAAACTTTTAGATACGGATTTTCGAGTCCTCTAGATTCGTTCCAGAGACATTGAGCGCTCTCTATGCACTTTCCAGAGCTCTCGTGGGCTTTTTTGACTCGAGTAACTATGTAAAGGACCCTCCGAAAGCTCTCGAAAGTATCCAGAGTAGGCACTGGGAAGCACCAGAGGGTTCTGAAAAGCATTTTGGGGGATTTACAGAGTCTCATGAATTCTAAAGATGTTTCCAGTGCGTTTGAAGAACTTTCGCGTTTTGTAATCGCTTTTGAAACTCATAAACTCTTTCCATAGCCTTGTATATCATTTAGAGTAATTTTTTGAGCGGTTTCTAGATTCCCATAGCTTTCGAAATGACACGAACGGTTTTGGAAGGCTCTTGAAAAGACTCTAAAAGCACAGAAAGATTTGGGAAGCCTTCTGCATCCTTTACTTTATTTTAAAAGCGGTTGTATTTTCCAGAACTTTTCCGTGCATTTTTCCAGTGGTCAAATAATAATAATAATAATAACGTTTATTGACCTCATAAACACAAATACACTATAATCTTTTAGATACTGTAGCGCAGGAATTCCCTTCCCAGAGCGTCCTAAATTCCTTCTGGGAAATGTGCAGGATTTTCAAGAACCTTTTCTAGAAGATTTTGGGCTGAAAAAAAGCGTGTTGAACTTTTTTAATTTATTTCAGGCATTAGTAGTAGATCCCCTCCAGAGAGTAGTGCTCTTTATGTACTTTTCCGAGCTCTCCGGGTACTATTAAGTCCATTTTAGCGCCTCAGCTAGTATTGGAAAGGGAAAACACGGTCTGTAAAATAAGGGAAAGCCGAGGGGCAAGCAGTAGAAAGTTTTGAAAAACCTTCTAGGGGCTTCCCAAATCCTTATGAATGAATTTTAGAGCGCTAGGGTTTTCCAAAGCTTT